TAAAACCAAAACGTGCCACTATTATTTACTAAATTTACATGAACTTTAAATCTACTAAAATAAATTAATTTATTTTACAATTTGTTGTTTTTATATACTTTTATAAGTAAGTATAGACATAAAAATTTTATGTACTTAGTTACTATGTGGGATCGTTAATATGTAATATTGCCACAAATTTGACTATATCCAATCCCGTATATATATACAAATTCTTAAATTTATTTTTAATCCATTCAAAACTATTGTATATCAGAACGTAGTGTAAAAAATGGAAAACTTTTTCATCTCGATATTTTCTAATAAATAATTCCCGATATATTTATATTGTTCTCATAAATGTTCACTTGATCGCATACACATATAATGTATATATGTTTGTTGTATTATTGGAGAGCAATACAATATTATATATTATTTTGTATAGAAGAAAGAATCCTTTCAAATAATTTAATATAACAAAAAAAAAGGAATCGTTAAATTTAATGACTTTATGAATTTATATAGAAATTTGGAATAAAAAAAGAAGAAATAAAAGAATAATAAAAGAAAAATAACTCTTTTAACATACACAATTCCTCTGCAGAATAGAACAAGAAAAACAAAATACAAAATTTTGGAAAATAATATTTTCTTATATACATGAGACGCAGGATATACAATGTGCGAATATTTTTGTTTTCTTTTAATCATAAATTTAATAATGTAACTTTGAAATGAATTCATACAAGTGAAAAGAAAAATAACGAACTTGATTAGGAGAAAGAAATCAGTTACTAAGAAAAAAATTTTTTTTTTGTTTTTTTTTTCATTGTTATTCTTTGTATTAACCATAATGTTGGTATCATGATATCTAACACAAAACACATGTCCTTGCAATTACAATATTACTTTTTTTTTGCGTTTGAACAGTGATTGAAAACTTTGTTTTTTAGTTTTTTTAAAGAAAGGATCAAAAAATTTGAAATATACATGCGTGCTGTAGAACTAATCAAAATTCTTAAGTAACTTGATTTGCCTGAAATTTCCAAAAATATATTAATTTTAAATTATGGTCATAGGGTTATAAATATTTTAATAAGATTGATCACTCAATGGTTTGTAATTTAGCACCTTTCCTTTCAAAAGTGTAGTACTTTTGAGTTTTGTTTTGTTTGAATTGAATTTTTCTATTGTCAAAATTGCTTTCATTCATATATTGAATATATTTCAAAAATTGCATAAATTTAGGATGAGCAATGTTGAATGCATTGCAATATACCAAAAAAATTGAAGGAGGCCTTAAAATAATGCTCAAATTTAAGAGTTATTTGGGTGAGTTAAGAAAAATAATTATATTTTGTAATAGCAAGGCATTCCTAGACATTTGGAAAAGCTTACAGTTTCGGAAATATAAGGTGGCTAAAATTTTACAATAATTTTTTATCAGTGTCTAATAGTTGGTAGAATTTCAGACTCCTAAAACCCGGAGATCTAGAAAAAAAATAATATCAAAATATTTGGAAAATTTAACGTTCCATTTTTTAAAATTTCTAGTAAAGAACTATTATACTTATGAAATTTTAGCTTTTTATCTTCAAAGGTGTAGTTGTTTTGTAAATATGTCCAAGGACGGACGGACGGACAGACAAATTAAAACTAATAAGCACTTTTTTTTAAAATTTTGTTTTTGAAAAGTGCTAAAAATTAATTATTAATTAAAATTTTATTTAATTTATTTAAAATTTTCATTAGCAATTCATTTTAAATTTATTTCAATAAAATCATCTTGAAATAAGCAAATGAAATTTTCAAGTGTAATGAGTTTCTGTAAGTGCGTTTTATTTTTGCATTTACTGTTTTCGCGAATATAGGTTTACAACCGCTGATTTAATAGCTGTTATTATTTCACACATTAAATGTGTATGTTAAAATATGTAAGCATATTGCAATAAGTATGTGTTTTATATGAATACATTAAAATATTATTTTGGGTGTTCTATAAAGATAACTTTTGAATATTAGATTCATTTTTATAGACGTCTTTTGATAAAAAGGAAATTTCTTTTTTTTCGTTTAACACAAAGAATATGAAATTTATACAAAAGACGTAAGTTTTATAAATGAATTTATAAAATTAAAAAAATATGTACAAGCTTTGTTATGTATGTATACATATATATATATATATACATATATATTTGTTCTACTCGTAATGAATAAGAATTGAACTTATTTTTCGTCTCTTCTTCAAATCATTCTTAAAAATCCAAAAACAAGAGAAGAGGAGCAGCGCAAAAGAAAGAAAATGTTTTCAAGCTAAAAGAGAGGAGTTTCTTTCTTGTTTCAAATGAGTCAATAAATTTTTATTGAAATGTGATTTTTTCTTTTTTTCTCTTCACTTTATTAAAATTAATATGGATATTAAAACAAGAAAATAAGAAAAAAAAATGTTTTCTACTAAAACCAAAATATTTTTTTTCGGAAAATGAGAATTCTTCAGGCTTTACATAGTGATTCTTTTATAAGCAAATTTTAGGTTCAAAAATATCGATATTCGGCAGTATTTAAAAGAAACTCCGGCTATAAATCAATTATTATCCAAAATAGGATCAAAATAAGTATTTTGAAAATATAGAACGGTTCCTTAGGCCGATAACTCAATTTTTGCAAAAATGTTGGATAAGCCTCTAATGTCCTTAGCGCCTCAAATGTAATTGTGATTTTCTCATTTATTTACATTACCCTAGAAATTGCTGAATCTCTTAATGTAATAAGCTTCATGTAAAGCATCTCAACTTCCCAACGTAATTTGATTTTTTAAATACTAGCTTATGTTTAAGTGACATGATTGAAAATTAATATTATAATATCATGTTAGGGAGTACATTGTGGATGCAAGAGTGTATTTTGAAAATGATACTCCCTCTCAATTTTAAATTAAAATTCATTGTCTTAATCAATAACATTATAATTATCATTATCGTAAAAAAATTACAAAATGGTTATTACCTCAAATTGTTATTACTTTGATTTAAAAATTATTTTACATTGTTACTGGAACCAAAACGTATATTTGTGATAGTTCTGATCATACCAATGAATCAATGAAGAATTTAAATTGCTCATAAATATTTTATTAATTAATTACAATTTGAAATTAAAATTTAGTGTGATATTGAATTGATTTTAAATACTCATAACCAAATTTAATGGAATGATTTTCTACAGAACAAAAATTGTATGATTAACAGGATAACAAACTACCTTATACACGTGATTTTATATTTGTATATAACGTGAATGTAAAATATTATTTTTAATTCATGTACTTTGTTTTTATGAATGGTAAACTTTTAACATGAATTTAAGTGAAATTTAAATTTTTAACTTTATTTTCCAAACAAAAAAACAAAACATTCAAATGAAATTTAATTTCAATTCATTTACTTGTATACCTACTTATGTACATACATGCGGTGTCAGAATTGGGTATGAATACGGGAAAATTCTAGGGAAGCAGGAAGGGGAGCTGTGCAAAGGTGTATTATATTATGAAAGAATTTCCACATAAAAGTAAATGTACGTCATTAAAATGAAAAAAATGGAAAAGTTTTTTTTTCTGTTTTGTATTTTGAATACGCCTTCATTGATTCACGCCTCATATTTATTATCAAATCGTTTCCTTCTTTATTTTTATTTTGAATTCTTTCTTTCTTATTGAAATTCTTGAAGATCAAAAGTTTAAAAATTATTTCGAAATTTTTCCTTGCTTATCTTTTGATTTTTTGTTTTCTTCAATAATAAAATTGTTACAAGCTTTGTATAGATAAACGCCTTAAGAAGCCAAAATGTTAAAAGATTTCTCTTTTTAGTAGCTTTATTATTGTTTTCTAGGTTTTTTTTGTTCCGTTGCTTTTATTTGGTATTTTACTTGAATAATAAAAAGCGTATTTGAAAATAAAACAGAATTATATTAGAAAATAAAAAAAAAAAAATTGCCTCGTAAGAAATAGAAAAGCAAAAATTTAATATACTTACTTAGAGTTTGTTTGAAAAATTTTTGTTTGCGTATGAAATGTTTTGTTATAAAAGCCCAATAGCAATTAAATTACAGAATAAAAATAATTCAATATCTAGAATTTTGATTTTTGGTTAAAAAAAAAAATTAAGCAGAAAATTTCTTTAGTGTTTATTTTTGCCATTTTGTCTATACTATTGTGTGGCACATGTTTGAAATGAGTGTAGCACATGTTTGAAATGCGTGTGGAACATGTTTGAATCAAAAGTAAAATAAACAAAAAAATTTGCGTTGTTGGAATTGTCATTAACAATCTTTTGTTGCATGCGAAAAAAAAAATGTTTAATTCATAAATTGCAGCTTTCTGCCATTAAAAATTCAGTGACAATTAAAACATGTATAACATATAATTGTAGACAACTCTAGCAGTTATTTGCATAGTATGAACTCTCTTGTTAATAGAAGCTTAAATTATTTTAATATGATATGGAAAATTTTTTAAATTAAAATTTGGTGACTAAAAATTGTCAATTCTTTTATAATATTAAGGAAAATTTTTAAGGCTTTTGTTGTGTTAATAAAATAGTGTTAATAAACTATATTGAATTTTGTACTCAGTTTATTCAAATTATGCACTTACATAAATATCTAAGAATTGTTATAAATATAATCAAACTCAATTATGCAATGCAATCGTCACTTATTTAGAGTATTACGAAAAAGCAAACGCATCACTGACAATTTCAGATGATTTGTGATAGAAGTGCCATTACAAAATCAGAAGTTTGTGAATATTGTGAATCACCTCTAGATATTGATCATTGCTGTAAAAATAAAAAATCATTTTACAAAATCATTTGTCACATTTTTTTTTTAATAAAGTAAGTTGCCAAAACTATCTGTGTAATTCTAAACATATAAAATAATTAAAAATAATTAATATTGAAAAAAAAAATTTTGTTTTTTTTTTTTGTTTTTGTTTTTCTCTATTCAAATATAGAGGAAGCAGCAGTTAAAATACAAGCAGCATTTCGTGGTCATAAAACTCGTAATGAAATGAAAGAGAAAATGAATTCAGCAAATAACGCAAATAATAATGTTTCTGAAAATTTTCAAGATTTAGATCCAGAAGAACTTGAAAGTAATATTGGAAAAAGAATTCCATAAATTAGCACAATTATAGAATTTGTTTTTAATTATTGAATAGAAGATTATTAAAGAAAGCACTGAAAAAAAATTTTTTTTTTCTTTTGTTTTATACTCTAAGAATTTTATTAAATTAAATATTTTTCTCTTGGTTTTGTGTTTTGGGTTGTACACGTTTAGAAGCAGCCACTAAAATTCAAGCATCATATCGTGGTCATCGAACAAGAGCAGAATTAAAGGAGAAAAAGCAAGCAAATAATAATGATAAATTAAAAAACAACGAAGATGAGGAAAATTATCGTAATCTAATTTTATCTCAGAATAGTTTCACTTAAATATTGTACTGTTCTTGCAATATGCTTTCCATAATAAGATCTTCACTATATAATAATATTATGAGTGCACGCACATAAATAAATGAATGAATATTGTTATTATTTCAATGACAAGAAAAGCATCATTAATGGCAATTTGTTTTGCGTCATGAAATGAAATATATGAAATGTTGCACATGGCTTAGTGTTTTATATGAAATGAGCATATAGTTTGTAACACTCTGAATTTAGAGGGGTTAATGTTATAAATTTTTATTAGCTTTGTTCATTAGAAATGTAAGTTAAGAAAAATATGCTTTAGAATATGACATAATATTCAAGTTGAAAGTACTTATTCAATAAATTGAAGAAGTTGAAAAAATTTTCAATCAAATGCTTTAATTTGCGAAATTATCTTTAAAAAGAAATGTTAAATTCGCTGTATGGAGAGATTAATTTGCACAGAATTGAGAAGCACATTGTGAAATGTCATTAAATTTTTTATAGTTGACACAAAACGCCCTCTTATAAAATTTAACACACCCCATTTCAAATATTTTAATGCAATTGTGTTTTAAAACAGTTCAAAGTTTGTATTTGTGAAGAGCCTATTTCACTTCCTTACACTTACATAGTGTTATACACTTACGTTCAACGTTCTTCGAATGCTTGAAAATTGGCATGAATTTAATGTTGTAGCAATTTGATTACAATCCAAATTTCGCAATAAAATTGATTAAAAAATTGACTTCGCTGCGCAGTTTATTGTAAATACAAAAAAAAATTGTAAAACACGAAATTTTCACAAAGAAATAAAAACAATTGTGATATTTAAATTTTATTTTAATTTTGAATTTAAAATTATTTTTTTTTTATAATATACAGAAATAAGAAAGCAAACAACAAATCAAAGTCATAAAAAGCAGAGGAATATAAAAAATAAAAATGATGAACTAAACAAAATTGAACCAGCGTAAAGGGCAACTTTTTTTCAAAAAGGATTAAAAAAAAATTTTTTTTTATTATACCTATAAAAATTTATTATATAAAATTAGTTTTAATTATAAGTATAAATTTTTCATAATTAATTAGTCAAAGCGGAAAAAGCGAGCACTTTAAAAATTAAATAAATATAAAATTTAATTGCCATCTTCTTGGCACTAAAGAAGATATTATCATAATATCTAAAATTCAAGTAAGTTGAATGATAAATTAAAGAATTTGAATGAAAAACTATAATTATAACATTTAAGAGTATGAAAAATTTCACTAGAATTGATTTAATTAGCACCTTAACCAGTAATACTCTTTAAATACCTATATTCTTTGTCTAAGTGTCAAATTAAATAGCATTCCTTAATGCATAAATTACTCTATTTTTGTTTAAATTTGTGAAAGTTGAACCATTGTCATATCTCTGATGGATATAGTGCCATGACATCTTGAAACTTGTGTTTCCATGTAGCCCCCTTGAAACGAAGTGTTTAATATAATAATCTTCTTCTAGCAATCGCCTATGCTTTATCTGCTGCCGGTCTTAATACGTGATCTTTCATTCACATGTTTACTTTTCGCTTCTTTCGTATTAATTTTATATATTTTCTCCTCTCCTTGTGCTGTAACATTGAAAATATTATCATATTATCACACATTACGCTCTGAGAATTCAGATTTTCTGTTTTTTATAGTTTGAGCACTTTGGTTCATTCTTCTTGGTCCATTTTCTATTTCTTATATCATAATATTACGATCTGCAAAAGAGTCAATTCCTAGCTTCAATAGCTAGTCTAATAGTCTGTGCTGAACCGATTGAATCTGATAACTGTCGAAACTAAGTTTAAGATGGATCTCCTTTTCAAAATTCTACTTCCATGGTTGTAAGATTTCAATTGATTTTAGTTGATTGAGGAAAACCCTTTAAAAAAGTTTTCATTTCGCTTGCCTTAATTGATAAGTACCACGCTTTTTGAGTTTCTTCTTGTGTATAATTTCTTTTTTAAAAACATCTGTTATAATTGTTGGACATTTTCCTTTAGAAGACGTTTACGGTTACTTTGACGATCTTACTCCCAATTAAATTTGAAATTTCATAATATTTCCAAAAATAATACATGAATAATAATGTTCTTGTACAAAATTTTTCATTTCGAAAAATTCCAATTAATTAATTGTAATGATTTTGTATTTTTATATTAAAATAGGGAAATTTGTTAATTGCAATTTTAAAATAATTAATAAAATTTGTTATTTTTATTTTTTCTCTTGATATTTTTTCCATTTAAATGATAAATATTGACAGAGAGAACGAAAAAAATAGCATTGACAATTTGCTTTTGTTGAATTTATATTAGGATTTTTTCCTTTTTCCACAAAAAAAAATTATATATATATATATATATATATATTCTGGGTCACGGCCAAATTTAGGTCATGTAAATACCGTATTACATAAATAACGTAATTTTTAGCACTTTTCCAAAAAATTTTTTGAAAAAAGTGCTTATTAGTTTCACTCTGTCCGTCCGTCCGTCCGTCCGTCCGTCCGTCCGTCCGTCCGTCCGTCCGTCCGTCCGTCCGTCCGTCCGTCCGTCCGTCCGTCTGTCCGTGTGTCTGTTTACAAAACTTCTACACCCTTGAAGATAGAAAGCTGAAATTTTATATATACATAGATCTTTACTAGAAACTTATTTTCGTAGAACAAAATTTTTACCTATCTCCCCCCCTCTAGAAGTTATAACCCCCCAAAACCCTAAAAGTGGCCTTTTTTAAATATTTGTTGCAATGAAACCATAAGCATTTTTGAAATTTCGCAAACGCAGAAAGGCAGCGGCTTGCTTCCCCTAGCGCAGTATACTATAGTTAAACTTTAGAAAAACAAAATGGCCGTTGAAATTTACCGTTATCTAAAGTCCTTTTTTTCCAAATTTTTGATGTCGTTTTTCTTCTAGATCCTATATTCTAGAACTTTGAAATTTTAGGGGCTTTTAGACATTAACAAGTAGTTCATTTCGTTAGAAGAAATTTTTTTTTCATCCCCACCCCCTCTCAAGTTATCACCTCTTGAAAATCGTAAAATTTGAATTTTTGACACCCTATATTTCCGAAACCGCAAGCTTTTCCAAATTTTTATAAACTCAAAAAGCTAACGGTAAATTCCATGACACTAAAAAATATAATTATTTTTCTTAACTCACACAATTAACCCTTAAAATCGAGCATTATGTTAACCCCTTTTTATGTTAATTTTTGCTTTATTTCAAAGACTGCATATACGAGTATGCGTCATCCTAAATATATGCAATCCTAGTAATAGTTTTGTATATGAATGAAAATAATTTTTATAGTGTGATAGGTATACATAGACTGTATTTAAAAGCAGAATTTTCACTTGTTGAAGGGAAAAGTGCTACAATACAAACCATTGGTTTGACCCAACTTTATTTTTTTTAAACATTAAGCTGATTGAAAAAATTTTTTTTTGTTTTTTATCATTGTGGCCAATTCATAAATTTTATATTCAACGTTACCATTAAAAAAAAAATAAGAAGTGGTTAAATTTTTCATCAAATACATTAAAATAATAATGAATTTTTTCTGTAAATTAAAAAAAAAAATAACAAAAAAAAAACAATGTCAGTTTAATGTGTTGTTGAATGTTGTACACCACGAACACATTGAGTATTTGAGTATTCGTCGAAAAGGAGACCATAAATAGAATTTTCCATGTAAATATTCATTGTCGCGTAAAGAAAAATATTTATTCCGCGGTAATTTTACTTTAAACACAGAAAAATATTTTTGTTTTTTTTTTAATATGCGTTCATATGAAGTGTTCTGCAAAAAAAGCACAATTTATTTCTACAAACTATGAAGAAATCTGCAGCCCAAATTGATAAATTTTGAGATAAACTCTTGCAAAGAAAAGAGCAGATAATAAATATAATAATCTTAAAAAAATTTCTTTGTACTTGCAGATGTTTCGAATAAGTTTTGAATTAAATGTAACTAGTTATACTAGCTAAAAACATTTCAGTCTAATCGGCAGTACAACAAATTACATTTCCGATTGCACGCATATTTTTCATAATTACCTCAAAAAATGTGAGAGAAGCAGTGTTTCAGCGCTTTGCAATTATTACTAAGCCAGTAGCATTCCTTTCTCTCTTCGAACAACTTAATTCTCTCCCTCTCTTAAAAAATTACAAAATTTTACTCAAAGTTTTTTTTTTCTTCTCAAATAGAATTCCCTTGAAAATTATTAATAAACGCAACTCTATTATTAGCAGAATTTTTTTATTGCTCTTTCAAATTAAGTTTTTCTTGAGAGAAAAAAAAAATTGTGTAAAAAACTCTCATTCCCCTAAGGAATAGGAAAACTTTTCATCTTCCAAGAAAAAATTCTGTTTTTTTTTTTTCTATGTTTAAACAATTCTTGTGTTATAAGCTAAATAGAGATTTGAGGCAAATTTTTTTGTCCACAATTTTTTATCATATTTCAAAATTATTAAATATAAAAGGAAAAATATTTTTCCATATACTTTGACATATTCTATATAATTGGAAATAAAAAATATAAATAAAATTTGTAATTTTTTATATGTATAGTAGGTAATATCCTTATTTTCATGTATACATCAAATTTCTATATACGAATATAAAATTTACTCGTAAAAAGGACATTTAAGAATTACAAAACAAAAAAGAAAATGGTTTTTATTTTTTATTTCACTTTAATTTCATTTGAATTAAACATTAGACGTTAGAATTTCATTTCCTTAATACATTACATTCTAAATTCATGTAGATTCGTAATATTTTAATTCGGAAATTTCTTACATGTATTGACTAAGCCTTTTTCTTCTTTTTATATACTAAGTTCTTATATTTAAAATCGTAATATTAGTCAAAATATTCCTGAGGAAAATTGGGTGGTATGCCATTATTCCTTTCCAAAGTTGAACAATTTTACACATGAAAAAGCAAAGAAAATTAAATAAAAACTTTTTCTCCTGCGATAAAAAAAAAAGAAGACAAAAAAAAATTCATATTTTGTGCTATGTGAAAATTAAATTGGAAATGATTTCATACTTCCTTCTTTTTCTTTTTTTATTATTATTGTTATTGATGTGAAGTTGGGTGAAAAAAGAGTAGAAAAATAAAAATTTCATTTTAGTTATACAAATGAAATTGTGTGTAATTTTCTCGGATGTTATAAATTTGTTTTTTTTTTTTGTCTTGCGTAAACTCAATGAATTACGAAATTTATATTTTGCCCTTTAAGTACTTAAGATCTGTTCTAGGAATGTATTTTTCTTATAAATGAACCCAAAAACTGAAACATCAATGATATTAAGGCTTTGGCTTAATGCGAGGCACACAACCCAGATACTTTTTTTTCCACTTCAATTCGAATTTTGAACTTTTCTTCAGCTCAATATGACAGGGGTGTACAGTGTGTTAAAATTTGATTTTGCTAAGGTATGAATTGATGCATCAATACCAAACATTGATTTTCGAATTGTACTTAAAAACAGCATAACGACAATACGGCATTGTGAACACAACATTTTTGTTAGAATTTTCAGTAATTTTTCACTCACTCCAGTTTTAAATTTTTCCCTTTCAACTCCTTCCACGTATTCCGAAATCTCCTGTATTTCAAACTTAAAAAAAATTTGTAACAAATATTTGTGCCTTCTGGCATTGTTTGATATTTTTTTCCATATTGAATCGGGAGTCAAAAAACCAAATAAAAAGGGATGAGCCTAAATAAAGTTAAGAAGTTTGTTTTTCATGTTTTGATTGCTAATCATATTTTTACACAGATTATTATTGTTTTTGTTTGTTTTTTTTGCAAGTTATATTGGTACATGCTGCTTTCATTACTTTTTCAGGTTGATATTCCTTATGTTTTATAATTTTTTTTTCTTTTGTAAACATTTATAACAGTTATGCGTTAAAGTACAATTGGAAAGTGTTATACAACAAAAATACATTAAATATTAATGATTTTTTTTTTGTTGTTCATTTTTTTTTTTTGAGAATTTCATTTATAAAATTACATTGTAACGCACCGATGAGGTATAAAACTTTTGGTCTTTTATAATGACTATTTTCACCTTTTCCTGTATTACATGATTTTATGACGGTATAAGAATGACTTTACGATATTGTGTCTGGGATTATTTGTGTCAAGAAATTGAATGTAATTAAGTTGATTTTTGGTGTTATTCAAAATGGAGTCAAAAAATTTCTTAATTTCCATTCTACAAACTATCTTCTTCTACAAACTAGTCGTCAGTGTACAATAATATGTTTTCACAAACAGTTGACCACATTTTCTAAGAAATTTTATTGGAATTCTTTCTTTTTAAATTACAGTGAATATTCACTCTGAAGTACTAAAATTTAATCTCATGTATTATGAAGCCAAGAATTCAATATTCTACAGTTGGAAACATAATACTCCATTTAAAATGTAAAATAATAAAAGACTTGAAAAAATTATAGTTGATCGTTATTAGATATTGTGTATGCGACAATATTCTTGTTGAATAATACGCGATATTCACATTAAAAATTTATTGAAAATTTGTAACAGATTTATAAAATATAAAAATTTTAATCTGTTAGGAAAGAATAAAGTAATAATCTAAATATACTCGTAATAATGAAAATTCAAAGAAAAATGTTAAGATCTTATTGTTCTTATGTTAACCGTGAGTTCTTTTCTAACTTCAAATCCAGAATTTCAATATTTTTATTATAGTTTTTTTATACGTTCCAATAAAATTTAGTGTTTATATATAAAATTATTAACCTTAACATAAGGTATAAAATTTTAGAGTGTGGTGGATTCCATGGAAAAAAACAAAGATAAAATTTAATCAAATTAATTTTGCATACCAAAAATTTTTTTTCCTTTAAAACAGGGTCAGATCTAAAATTACGATATTAAAGTTCACATTATTTTGTTATACATTTTTAACATAATGGTGATTCTACATACATATATAAAAATATTATGAATAATTAAATTTTTCAGTACCAAAATAATAATATTTAATCAAAAGAGATTTCAGAATGTTCAGATTAATTTCTCAAGGGATTTGTTTATCAAAACTCTTTTACTCTTTAAAAATTAAAAATTAATGAAATTTCATTATGATATCATTACGAAATTATAATTATTTAATATTTATATAATATTCAAGCAACTAAATTTAGTTTTATAATATAAGAATATTATGAAACTAAATTTAGTTGCTTGACTAATCAGCCATTTAACAAAATAAAAGAAAAGAAAATTATTGAGACAATAAAATCGTTTTCTCTTTTTTTTTCTTAATCTTTTAATCTTTACTTTTAAAACTCTTTGCGTGTATGAAATTAGTTAAATTTTATTTAATACATCCTCTACCATTAAAAGTACATAAATATTTTATAATATCTAATAGGAATATGCACATCAATGTATACACAGTGCTCTGCAGGAAAAAAATTGTAAAATTTTCCAGGAATTAACAAATATTGTTGAATTCCACATTTTATAATCGAATATTAAATAATGATTGAAGATCATTTTATCTGTATAATATAAAAAATATTATGCCATATTAGGAAATTTTAATATTTCAATAATAATAGAAAATTTAAAAAATTTGCCACATCGGAAGAAAAAATAACACTAGTATCGATTGGTATATCAAAAATATTTTCAAAATTATTTTTTCATGGAATATGGGGCGTTTTAAAGTAAGATTTATGATTTGTAACACGACTGAACCCATTATGAAAGAATTATGATGATTTAGAAAACTAATCTTATAATGCGTCATCTTTCAAAAATTTTCAACGTTTCAACAGTTAATATCAAATTATTAAAATTAAAAATTTAGGACAGTGTTTACGTATCTGATGTTTAAACGTTGGTAAAAATGTGGATTCAAAAGGAAGTGTAAAAAATGGTGTTCTCTTTCTTATTTCAAAAAATTCTCATCAAACAAAATCCACGAACAATATTGTTGTGCCAATACAAAATCTTACAAAATATTAGAGCAGACTCTGAGTAAACAGAACCAGAGAACTTAATACATTGTTCAAACTCTCTATTTCTCTTTTGAGGAATGATTGTAATAATTCAAAAACTTCGTGTTTGAACTTTTGCCCTTAGCAATTTTCATTTTACTGTCTATTCCCATTACTTAATGAAGATTGACCATGAACTAATGACCGAATATTAATCTAAAATCAAAAAAAACTTGACCTTCAAATTTAAAAGAAAAAAATAAGCATATAGAGAAATCAAAAACATTATTTAATCCTCAAAAAAAAAAAAAAAAAAAAAAAACTTTGCAAACATGTAAAGGAAAAGGAAAAAAGAAAATATAAAATTTTTTGAATTTCCATTTTTTTTTTTTTTTTTTTTTCTTATCAGATTTTTATCCTTTAGCCCCTAATGAGATATTATAATCCTTAGGAGGTTTCTTCATTTACTGTTAGCTCTGTATTTTATGATTATTATTATTTTTATTTTAGGTATTATTCACTATTCATATTTTTGGACATCCAAAATGGAATAGTCAAATATTTGAGGTTAATTTTAATAAAACAAAAAAAAAAATGAAGGTTTTAAGATAACCATAAACAAAATTTACCATTTTTCTTTTCCTATTATTTTCTCTTCCGTTTTGTTTTTTCTTTCCTTATTTTTTTTATTACCGTATTTATTACTCCTTTTCCTTGAATTTCATAATTCGGATTTGTTTTTCATTAAAATCAAAAAAGAAAAAATTCTTTTCATAAAAAAATTTTACTTTCAAGTTTTTTTTAATAAAATATTTTTTTTTTGTTTCGAATATTTAGAACAAGCAGCAGTTAAAATTCAAGCAGTATTTCGTGGTCATAAAACCAGAGCAACTATGAAAAATAATTCAGAATCAAGCAATACAAAAGAGTCTGGTAATACAGCAACATCACCATCAGCAGAAACAGAACCAACTAAAGAAGAATTAGAGGCAGAATTTGATCCAAATGATAAAGGTATGACCAATTATTTTGTATAAGCAAATTTACAAATTAATTTATAAAACTTTTGGAAAAAATTTTTTTTTGTTGTCTCATTTTATAAATTTTAAAATTGAAATGTTTCTTAGTCTTCTAAAGCCTAAGTTTTGATTACAGATTTTGTAGTAAAAGCGCATAGTAAAAATTTTACATAATTTATTGCCGTATTTTTTAGAAACACCATAGATGTGACTGCTTTTTAGCACTTTTCCTAAAAAAATTTGAAAAAAAGAGGTTTTGATTTCCCTCTGTTCGTCCGCCCGGCCGTGGATCCATTTACAAAACTTCTATGGTCTTGAAGATAGAAAGCTGAATTTTTACTAAACTCTTATTTCCCTAGAAGATAACTTTTCTACCACCCCCCTCCCCACCGTCCGCCACTGTAACAAAATAATTTTAACAAAACAAATGTTTTTCAAATGCTACAAATGCAGGAAAGTTATTGCTGACTTCTTCTACTGCGGCATTGGAATTCTAATTTACCGTTATCTAAAATCCGTTTTTCCTAAATTTTTAATATTGTTTTTTTTTTAGATCTCAGATTTTAGAAGTCTGAAATTTTAACAACTTTTCTTTTAATCTAATAAATAATAGATTCATAGTTCTAATAAAAAATGGTAGTTTAAATAAGTAGTTCATATTATTAGAAGAAATTTGCTTCCATCTTAACCCTCTCTCTCGAGTTATCACATTTCTAGAAAATTCAAATTTTCGGCACCATATATTTCCGAAAATGCAAGCTTTTCCAAATTTCTATAAATACAGAAGGCTTACAAGAAATGTAATTATTTTTCTTAACTTATACAATTAACCCATGAGTTCGGCCATTATGTTCAATTTTTTTTTAATTTCAAAGATTGCCTACAATGCTTATCCTAAATGTATGCAATTTTTGGAAATATTTTGGTATTTATTTTTAAAAGCAGAATTTTCAACTGTTAAAGTGAAAAGTGCTACTTTACAAACCAATGGCTTCACCCAACTTAATTTATTTTTTCGCGAGCCGCCAAAAGTTTTACATTATTTTATTGTTTATTTAAAGAACAAGATTTTACGCATAACAATCAGTTTTATTAAAAAGAAGTGTATAAGTCCTTACTATCTCTCTCTTACTTTTGCTATGCTATTAGAATTTGGTTGGGTTCTTTTACACTCGACTTTCAATTTTATCTTAAATACTAAATATGTTTATTGTTTTTGTTTTTCTGTCCTTTCGAATATCTTAATTTAAGGAATATTCATAGTGTATCCAATTCCTTTTAGTTTTAGTTTATTTTCCCAAAAGATTATGAAAATATTTGGTCCCTTTCTTTTTCTATATTGAAAATAAATTTAGAATTAGTAAAATTTTAATTTTTTTTTTCTTTAGCTTTCATATTTTATTTTAATCTTATAAAAAACATAAATTTTTAGTCAGTTTTCGCAAGAGAATTAAGAGAATTTCAAAGGTTTTTCTAATATTTTTTTTATCTCACTCTCATTGCCTCAAAAACAAATTTTAATTTCAAGTTAAAGTCCTCCTAGTACGCATTTTTCTTATATGATTTAAGATGAAAAATTTAAAGTTTTTTCTCAAATTGTTCATGAGTCTTGCACTGAACTTTTTCGAAAATCTTGTTGATTAGATTTTTCGAAACCATATTATTGTTTTTGGCATGTCAACTACACTGTTATAGTCTCTATCTTACAGGTTTCAATTTCAGGCGATAAAAAAATTTTTAGTACTTTTGAAAAAAAACTCATTTTTGTGAAATTTAAATAAATTTTATATGTTTTCCATTTTTGTGAGAATCATAAAATCTTTAATTGGCTACAAAATGAATATCTTATAAACATTTTATTATGATTTCAATGTGGTTTAAAAAATCTGTAAGAATAATGTATTTTTACACAAAATATCCTTTCGCTGTATATTGTAGTATGTGTGCTCTTAAGATTATCATATCTCATAAAAAGGACAATAATGCTGCTTTTCAATTTTCATTTTATGTCACCTTATTATCACATTTTTTATGGTTTTACTTTTTCTTGAGTTAAAAAACTCTATGGGAAATAAAATTTGTGCTATCGTAGTCAAGAAATTTACAAAATATTCTAATGAATCATTTAAATTTAAAAGGCATTTAATGGGATTTATAAATGCTTTACGTTAAATTTGTATACTTTGCAATCTAATTTAAGATTATAAAATGCAAAAATTTCGTTTTATTTTTTAAGAATTTCAAATGGGAAATTAAATAGTTTTTTAGTAAACTCAAGGTGTAATTAATTATTTATTTTTAAAATCATAACTTTATATATACAGAGTGATTCAGAAATGTATACAACAACATATACCATTGGTTAGAGGGTCAAAACTGTTTGTTTGAATAACTCATTTTTTTCGGAACGGAAATTGTAAGCAAACTGAAAAAGTAGGAATTTCGTGAAGGTTCGTTAAAATTTCCTGTAACTTGGAAATTCTTAAGATTTGGCACCTAAGCCACTACAAAAGTTTTACCCATTTTTGGCCCTATAATCAATTATTGTATATCTTATTGTATACTTTTTTGAAACACCCTGTATATGAACACATATAGTGTATGTACTTTGATATTTTAAATTTAAAAGTCAAATGGTTATTTTAGGAACTTATATTTTTTGAAATGTTCGGTAAACAAAAATTAAAATATCATTAAAATTTATAAAAAAATTTTTATTTGTTTTTAAAATTGTTCTGGTATTGTTGCATTCAAAATTCCACTTATTTTCCACTTATTTTCCACTATAGATGCAAATATAAATTTAAAAGATTTATGACTAAAATGTTAATCTAAGTTTGAATAATTTTCAACAAAAGAAAAATATCAAAACTCTTTGAATTTTCAAGTTGAAAAAGAAAAATATTAAAAAGTTGATTAAAGTTTATGATTTATCTAGATCTTGCTTATTTATTTTCCATCTCAAAATTTTAAAGAATGAGAAAAGTTTTACGGATATTTCAAACATTTTTCAAATGGGAAAAATGAAAACTTAAAAAATAATTTCCAAATTTCAACGTTATCGCGACAAAAGTTCTCAAGAAAAAATTCTTATCATATTTTATAAAAAATTTCATGGTTCGACATTGATGAAATTTTAAAAGATTAGCAAGAATAAAAAACATTAATAAAATACAACTGTCGCAGTATAAAATTTTTTAGTAAATTTTGAAAACTTCAAAATTTCCAGGGAGTCGACATTACAAATAGTCTTTTCTCTGGCAGTTTCTGGTAATTTCTCCGAAAAATTAGTAGAATTTTTGGATTTTAAATGAAATTTCAATAAAATCATAATTTAAAATTTTTTTCAATAATTTTAACAATAATTTTTAAAATTTGGAACTTTGTAAGAGCAAAACATAAAATATTTGAGATTCTGTTCAAGGTAATATGAACCTCTTCTTTTTTATTTTTTTTCTGAGTCATTTGTATAAATTATAGATGTAGTCAAAAATTTTTATAAATCATAGTTTAATTTTACATGGCCTCATCCTTTTATTGCCACAGTAAAAATTGTTTTTCTCTTACAATTTTAGAATATTTTTAATTTTAATTTCATTAAAACAAAATTCCTTTCTATTTGAATTAACATCAATACTTCACTAAAATTATCACACTTTGCCAAATTTTACACGATCATTTTATATCCAGTCATTAATAGTAAAGATAGTAGCTAGAGCTTTTTTTTTTTTTAAAATATACGTAATTTTTGAATATTTGCCCCTAGAATTATGCAAAAAGTTATATTGGTAATAAAAAGACCTCAAAATATTAAATTTAATTATTAAAATAAAATGTAGTATTTTACTACAATATTGTATAAATCCCTTCTAACGATATTACATGTGTATATTGCACAACAGCGTTGTAGCTGAAATTGCTCTAATTCTAATTCTAAATTCACATACGTTATTATTAATTCGAACAGGAATATGCAACTATACTAAATATGTAAGTTTGTCCATTTTGCATTAACGTGAATGAACATTATATAAAGAAAGTATGGAATTATTTACCTTATTGTATACATATATACATTTTAAAAGGAATTTTCCAAAAGGATATTTACATTTATGTATATATTGTTCATTATAGTAAAATTTTGTTCAGAAGAATGATTTTACATATACTTTGTACATTATACAGCTATATAAATCGCATGAAAATGTAGACGTATAACCTTTTTGTATATAGAAGCACTAAAAAAAAGAATTAATATTTTAAAAGTTCATTAATTTATGTTCTACTGTATAACCTACATTGAATGTTTAGTAGAAATTTAATACGAAATCTAACCGGCACAATAAAATGAAAGGTCGACATTATAATTAATGATTATTTTTATTTTTTAATTTATTATTTTCTCTTTATTATACTTTTAAAATACGTAATGTAATGCTTATTAAAAAGGATATTATTATCCTACAAAATTATACAATATTATTTGTAGACCTACACATTTTGTATACCAATTGTAATAAACTATAAAATAGGTTTCTCAGTATTTATTTTTTAATTATTTAGTACAAAAAATTTGCTTTTTAAAAGAATAATTATTATGGAATAATTTGCAATCTTAAATGACTTTATTACAGTTTTTGTGTATAATAAGGATAATAAAGGGACTAAATTGTATAAATGAGATTTTTAAATAAAATAAAATGTTAGAAAATTTTGTTAAATTGTGAATTCTTTAATTATACGTTTATAATATTATTGAACTGAAACTGAAAAATTTTGTATTATTAAAATAAATATCAATAATTATTATTGTGTTTATTAATTATTGAATTTATAGATTGGGTTCAATGTTAACTGAACCCAATCTGTGAATAATCTGTGTTGTGAATATTTTCGTGAATATTCTTTTAATCTGTGAAAGTTCTGTGAATATTTTCAGTTGATTTCACTCTAATTTTAGTTGTAATGGTTGAAGAATAAAGTTGTAGTAGGACA